TATATTACCTCACAAGTTTATTTCACTGTTGCATACGACAAAATAGGGGAAGCTGGAAACATTTACCCAAAATATTAACTCGGGTACTGTTCATAATAAAGGGAATTTTATTATGTTGTCCGTTCTATGATCCTGGAAAGACAAAGGGAAAAAAAAGTCATGGGCAGTTTGTTAGAATATAAATGGTAGTCATATGTTATCCACTTGTATAGTACATCAATTCTCATTAAATATATTAAATTAAATATTGTTCGAATTATCAATTTAACTCATCAAATATGGATATCAAATATTTTATACGGATTTTATACGTGGTTAGTTGAGGACCCATCAAATGAAACGATTTGACAATAATAAAGAAATTGGAGTTTTAAACACATAAAATACGTATGTCATATATACACGTATTAAATGGAGTATTTACTAACTATGTGTAAGATAGTATAACCTGATACATAACATAACTATAGTAACTTTATTTTTCTTTTATATGAGATCATTCCCGGAATTAACATAAAGTCTATTGCCCCTAATTACTATGACTTTCAACTTAATCATAGTGACGGCCTGACGGGTGAGTTCAAGACACAACCTGATAAGCCATGTTTATAAGTGACAGCTTAATCATAAATGTATGTGTTTGTATTAGACACTGGTTACGGAAAGTTAGGTATTATTTTTACGTGACATTACCGTCTCATCGGTTTGCAATAAACAAATGCTCAATAAGATCAATTATTAATTATATGTGAAATTTTCTGTAACTTGATTTTATTATTAAACCAAAAATTATGAAAGATTTATGTAATACCATTGTATAATAGCCACGTGAGTTACAAATACATTACATAAATCTTATGGGGTAGCTATTTCTTATGTATCAATTAAATAAATGTGTTATGTAAGTCTCCAATAATGATTAGGACACTATGTAAAGGTTGCAGATAGATTTTTTTATTTTTTTTATTGAATGGAGGCAAGCGCCAATTACAAGCGCCAATTACAAGCTCCTAACGGCTAGGAGCAGAGCACCAAAATTCAGCACAGAAATAAACACAGCCAAAGCAAGGGATCAAAAGCAAAACCAAAAACCACGCGGCTCAAGTACCATCTGTTCTAATAACTTGTCTAGGGAAGCTAATTCCCAAAATATCATCTCTGCAGATTCTATCGAGCTCCAAAGGGGGATCAATTAGCTCATGCGTACCGAAGGGATAGACGAGACTGTGCTTCGAGAGCCAGTTCGCGACTCTATTCCCTTCGCGATACGTATGTACTAATCGAACCACCCATTCTCTTGCCAAACATCTTCTGATCGTGCCAAGCAAAGTTGCATAAGGATGAACCCTGTAATCCCTAATCTCAATGAGCTGCAGGGCTAATTTGGAATCAGTCTCAAGAATGAGGAAGCGGGACCCCTTCTTCCACGCTAACCCCAGCCCCTGTAAAATTCCCCAAAGCTCCGCTAGGAGAGCGGTACCAGAACCAAGCTTGCTGCAAAAACCTCCTATCCAGATTCCATCATGATCCCGAAGCACGCCCCCTGCAGTAGCCATACCAGGATTGCTTTGAGCAGCACCATCAGTATTCATTTTATGCCATCCTTGTGGCGGTTTGATCCAGCCAACAAGCTCTTCCACTCTAGTTTGATTTATGTTCAAAGATGGCGCTCTCATAGATGGAATGGAGGCTTTAACCCACTCTGAAGCCTTTGCAACCACATAATGATGCAAGGTCGGAATGGTCAGCTTCACCCCTTTAAAAATCCTCTCACTCCTGCATTTCCAGAGATACCAGAGGACTAGGCAGAAAAAATTGTTCCACTGGCCAGGCCAATTACCCGTCGAAACATTGAGAATGTTGGCCTTGATCCAAGCATCAAGGTCGCTGCTGAAAAAGCTCCCTCTTCCTTGCTGATCCAAAATCCTGTTCCAAACTGCTTTGGCCCTGCCGCAATCCCTTAAACAGTGAAGGTTGGTTTCTGCTGTGTTCCTGCACTCAGGACACGAGTCATTATCAGTTAAATGCCTGTGTTTTCTGATGCTGTTCGTGGTGAGTTTCCCTTGCGCCGCCATCCAAATGAAGACTCTGACTCGTTCAGGAATTTGGAGTTTCCAAATATTCTTCCAGATATAACTCGACTGCTGATCGGCCTGCCTCTGGATTGCCTTAAAGGCAGAGTTAACGGAAAAGTGGCCATTTGCAGTGATGCTCCAGAATGCTTGGTCTCCCTCCATGTCCAGCGGGTCTATCATGATGGCCCGGATTTTGTTAATCATCTGCTCTGGGAGGAAGCCTTGAAACTCTGTAATCTTCCAGCCATTCTCTGGATCCCATAAATCAGCCACCTTATGATTTAATTGATCCACTGGAACCTCAGTTGTAGCCAACTCCTTCAAAGGAACCTGCGACACCCAGGGATCAAACCAGAAATTAGTTCGATTACCATTCTTAATATTCATGGCAAAACCTTTCTTCAACACATTAGCAGCAGAGACAAAGCTTCTCCATGTTAGAGAACTTCCCTGTTTTTTCTGCAGAATGCTGATGCCTTCTCTGTTTCCGCCATATTTGTCGAGTAAGAGCTTAGTCCATAAGGTTTCCTCCCTCGTAGCTAGCTTCCAGCTTCCTTTCGCAAGCATGGCTTGATTAGCTTGTTTGGTTGGCCGAATACCTGTTCCTCCCTGTCCTTTTGGCAGAGTTAATTGATCCCACCCGATTGGATGAAATTTCCCTTCCCCTTCTTCTTCTCCCCAGATGAATTTCCTGTTTACCCTGTCCAAAGCATTGCAAACAGAGGCAGGGAAAGCTTCGGAAAACCTAGGATAGACTGCGATCGAAGAAGAGATTGATCTTACCAAGGTCAAGCGAGACGCAAGCGAAAGGTAGTTTGTCTTCCAGGACACGAAGGATTAAATCCTTGTATCTGGCCTTATTGACTCTCCCATGGATAGCATTTAGACCCAGATACCGCCCCAAGTCGTTAGTGAGAGGGATATTTGCCTGGTCACTGAGCTGTTGAGCCTTCTGACGACTGATATTTGGGGAAACAAACATCATGGACTTGCTCAAGTTAACCTTCTGCCCTGAGCTTTCGCAAAATTCGTCCAAGCAACTCTTAATCACCTCAACTTGTTTGGACCCTGTTTCTGCAAACAAAACTAAATCGTCTGCAAAGAAAAGGTGAGAAAGCTTAAAACCATGAGAGGTGAGAGATAGAGGTTTCCAATCCTAGTTTTCCACGGCAAGCTCTATGCGGTGAGAGAGGCGTTCCATACAAAGAACAAAGAGGTAGGGAGATAGGGGATCCCCCTGTCTAACTCCCCGCGAGGGCAGAATCCACTCAGTAAGTTTGCCATTCCAATTAATCCTCATCCTGTTCTCTTCCACACACTTCATAATTCTGCTGATCCAAGTGCTGGGGAGTCCGACTTCGATTAAGGTATCTCTGATAAACTCCCACCTGAGCCTATCATACGCTTTTTCAAGGTCGATCTTGATCACTAGACCTCCTTTCTTCCCCTTCCTACGTCGCAGAGAGTGAAGGACTTTTTGAAGGATTATGATGTTATCAGTTGTCTAACGCTTTGGGATGAAGCCACTTTGGGTAGGAGCCACCAGATTCCACATTAAAGGCTTCAGTCTGTTAGCCATAGCCTTCCTGATGGCCTTTAAACTGACATTGTTGAGGCAAATAGGTCTTAACTGAGCAGGGGATTCCGGCTGATTGACCTTAGGAATGAGCACGATATTAGAATCAATCACATCTGCCGGCAGGTGACCTGATTCAAAGAAAGAAGTGGCAAAATTAGCAATGTTCTGCCCAACAAGAGGCCACAATTTCTGATAAAAATTCCACTCTGAATTGCAGAAGGATCTGTCAATTCTACTGGCTTTAAAAAGGCCTCCTGAATTCCCTCTAAACCAAGTAAACCTGGCCCCTGAGAAACCTAGATCAATAAGGTTGGCTCGGTCAATCCAATCGCCAACTTTTGACACCGTCTGAGCGCAGCTGACGAGATAGCTCCAGCTTTTTCAGAGAGAAGTCTGTAAGCGTTGAAATCACCAGTGATGAGCCAGGGGATTTGAGTACTTCTACTAGTATGAATGAGATAATCCCACAGTTGTTGGTGGTAATTGTAGCGAGGACTTCCATAAACACCCGTGAGCAACCACTCTGTAAGATTGCTGTGAGAAACTTTGACAGTGATGTGTTGCCTACTTGCATCAACAATCTGAACTTTGAAATCCTCAGACTTCCACGCCAGCCAAATACCGCCTTGCCTGCCCTCGGCATCGACTCTCACTACTTCATCAAAACCCAGATTCACACAAACTCTGTTAGCACGATCTCCGCTGATCTGGGGCTCAAACAGAAGGAGAAAATCAGGACTGTAGGACTGCACCAACAGCTTAATTGCCCTCCTGAATTCTTTACTTCCTGCGCCACACACATTCCATGCTAGAACTTTAAAATTAGGATGAACAGACATAGACAACATTAAAGGAGAACTAAAGAGAAAGAGAAAAACAGGGTCCATGGAAAAGCTCAAAGATTCAGGTAGTTGCCACCGGAGCAGCAGGAGATTCTCCTGGGGTATCACTGTCATCAGGCTGGGGAATTGAAGCGGCCACCATCTGATTCTCTTCCATGACCACATCTGACGGTTTCTAGAGAATGATTTTTCGGAATTCCAGAGCCTTTGATTGAGTGTGGGCATAGAACTCCTCAATGGCTTTTAGTGTGATCGGGTAGTTGCCTTCTACGGATTTCTTAGCCGATGCTTTTTTGTTGGGAGAGATGATTTGAAGAGGTTTTTTGCTTGTTCTAAGATTGAAGCCTCTATTTTGAGACAGCGCCTGAGAAACCTCCTCCTTCTTTCTTTGTGACTGTTGGCGGGCTGAGATTCGGTTTGAATTGGGGTCAACATTTTCTCTCTGGTCAGTCGAGAGCTTGGGAACCGATAAAAGGTGGATATTCGTTTTATTCGGGCCTTGGATCACTTCCTGCGATAGGGCCGAACTTGGAGACGCAGAGGCTTGGCCCACCGGCGGGTTTTGGGCCTTCGAGACCAAAGATGGGCCTGCTTGAGACGTTTTTCCTTATAATCCTTTACCCGCCACTCTACAGAGCCGTTACTCTTCTTCTTCCCGTTAGCATCCTCTGCTTCCAAAACCACTGCTTTCCCCTTTTGTATTCCTTGCAACCCCTTCTTCTGCTCTTCTTTGAAATCCTTCTTTCCTTTCTTTTCCACTACATTTACTCCTTTAGGATTATCCACTTTCCCTTTTCCACTTGATTTAGCTTCATTCTTTCCTGAATCCGCGCCAATTGTCAGAGGTAAGTTTGGTGAATTACCTAATTTGTTCTTCGTCTGTTTTCGTGACTTCCGCGTGACTTGCATCCACGAACCATAGCCGGTTGGGAGCTCCGGCGATTGGCTCACCGGAGGATTCATCGAGGTGCCCTCAGCAACCACAGCCAGAGCTAAAACCTGGGGAGGATTTCGCTCAGGGCAGCCCTCTTCGAGATGCCCAATTCTGTCACATCCGTAACAAATTTGAGGGAGATTTTCATAGACAACCTGCTGCTGTATTCCATCGAGATAAATCAACATCGGACCTGGTTTTGTCATGTCTAAATCAATTGCAATCCGTGCAAACTTCCCCCTTTGCAGCGTCTCCGTATGGTAATCCAGCTTCACTGTGCGCCCAATCAAATTCCCAATAGCGAAAAGAATTTCTCGATGATAGAAATGGACTGGCAGTTCGGGAAATTGAACCCAGGCAACCACCGACCGGTGGGGTTTGTCAGTCGATCGAAAACTAGGTGACCATTGATGAACCAGTAAGTAATGATCCAAAATCACCCAAGGACCTCATGTGAGTGCTAGAAGATAGTCTTGATCATTGCTGAACGTCACCAAGAATGTCTCATTATTTAGATCCATGATATCTAGAGTTCCTGTAGGTCTCCATTTCCATCTGAGCTGGGAGCACAGGTAAGAATAGGAGACAGATCGACCTAGAAGGCGTACCACAAGAGTCTTTTTCCACGGATCACATAATCTTTCTTTGAAATTCTTCGAAAAGTTAAGAGCGGGATTACCGTTGAATGTGCTGGCCACCATATCCTGTTCTCCCACGAAGGTCCATTGGCTTCCTTTTGCAGCTTTCTCCTGACTATGACCAGTCAGGACATTCTTGTAAGACATCGAAGTGACTGTCGCCCCTGCATCCGTTTGAGGGATGCTCTGATGTTGTTGTTTAGGCGGAGGATCTGGAGGTTTGGTCGCCGGAGGAGCTACCGCCAGCGGCGTTGGAACGAGAGAGAGAGCGTTGGAATCCATTCTCCTGTATGGCTCTAGTTTCTTCCTGAAAGGTTACAGATAGATAGTTGTTCATTATATATGTCAATTAAACAAAAAGTATTACGTAATATAAGTTTAGAGGGAAATCATTTTATTATTAACTAAACTAAATTATGGATCACCTCATCAATTTGTATTACACAAGATTCTGTAAAGTCTTTTTTTTTTACGTAAGGATACTTTTCAATCTTCATAACTTCATTTTTTGTCAATACCAACAATATTATTCATTTAATACATTTGCATTATGCATATGTCCTGTAATTGCATGTTTAACTTTTAAATAATAATTTAATCAAATGTGATAATGTCGGTAACTTTATTTTATTATTAGGTCACACATTATAACATATTTGTATGCACCATTCTATAACAGTTATATAAATTTTGTTACATAAATATATTGTAATGATTACGAAACTATGTAAAGTTTATGAAGGTATCTCCCTGAAACTATTTCGTAAAAATTATTTGCTTTTGACTAAATTATCGAATGAAATTATAATTAGTAAGGCTATGGATAGATAGTTGTTCATTATATATGTCAATTAAAAAAAATTATTACATAATATAAGTTTAAAAGGAAAATGATTTTATTATTAACTAAATTATGGACCATCTCATCACACGAGATTTTGTAAAGTCTTATTTTTTTATTTAAATCAAATGTGATACTTTTCAATCTTCATAACTTAATTTTACTGTTAAGAACTACAATATTATTCATTTAATCAATTCGCATTATGCATTTGTAATGTCAGTTTATTAGGTCACATATTATGAAAGATTTGTGTGGCACCGTTATATAACATTTACATAATTATGTTATAAAAATATTTTTTAATGATTAACACACTACGTAAAGTTTAACTAAATTATTTGATTTTGTTAAACTAAATTATTTGATTTTAACTAAATTATCGAACGAAATTATAATTATAATTAGTATATTTACCGTTGCGGAGCGCGGGTAAAAAAAACTAGTAATAGTCAATATAGTAGGATATATCAGCGACAACAACTGTTGTAGTCAGTTCTTGCGCCCGTTGCTCAAGAGGTCGGTAGAAATCCATTTTATAGTTTAGAAATTTCATATTCTAAAGAGTTAACAGGTCCAAATTTTTTATTTATAGGTGTCTTCTTTAAAAATTTAAAAATTAATAATAAAATATCCGACTAGTACAAGTTACTACAAAGTACCACTCAATATTTTCACAGTCTGAAAATTCTAAAATACACTTAGTGTTTACATTGTTTAACAATCTCCTTCAATATGTAATACTAGACAATCATTCATGAACTGATCGCCTATTTGATTCCTAAGTTTGTTCTTGATGTAATCCGAATTTGAAAAACAGCACTTATAGTTGTACTCGATTAAATCAGTACAGAGTTGAGAAGCAAATAAACTCATGAATATGATAGATGCCCTTTGGTTTCCATCATCGATTGAGCTAATTCATTAAGGAAATCCAATTAAAGTGGATTCTGTAGGAAGGGGGAGTGGATTCTTGAGGGAGAGTTTTGACCAAAGATTGACTCAAATGGAAATAAGAGAAGGACGAAGCTCGTGTTTCCTTTTCACCATGTATCATAAGGTATTCGATTAAAGTTTAGGTGTTAGGGTTTGAAAGAAAAAAAAGAAAAAATGGAAATTAGAGTATGATTTTTTTTAAACAAAAGATAACCATATTGATTGATAAGAGATCACAAATTACACCTGAACCTAACCCAGGCACGAAAATCATACAATTGACACAAAGTCGGAGACAAAGAAAGGGCATTTCTAACCACTTAATGGGCTATCCTATTGCTATTCCAACCTACGAACCGAACACGAAACTCACTATTCAGACCCCATCAGATAGGAAACTAGAGTATGATTTGTTTTTAATTTTAGATTATAATTTATTATGTTAAATTATTACAATAAACGAATTATAGTATAATGGTAACCAATGTCACTGATAACATCAATAACATTGTTTCAAATCAAAGAACTACTAGTTGTAGCTTACTGCATAATCAGCATCCCCACTAGGGGTGGGCAACCGGTTCAGTAAACCCGAACCAAACCGAAACCGAATTAATTCTATTTGATTAGGAAGGAAAATATGGATAGTTCGGAAATCAGGGTTCTTTCAACCGAATTTCTAAATTTCTGACCGAAAAATCAAAATACTATAATTGCAAGCTCCAAATGGTGGATTTTTATGTTTGTAGTTGTTTTTAGACTTAAATATTTGAAATGTTTTATGACTTATGTGTTGAAAAGTTTGATTTTATTATTGATGATGCATATAATTGCATATTTATTGTTTATATTAGGGGTGAAAAATAATTTAAAAGTGAGACGATACAAGTAGCTTCACAAATTCGGTTTTGTGTGAAAAACCGAACCGAATTATAATTCGATTTAAACCGACCGAACCATATTATAATTTGGTTTGAGGTTTGGGAGAATTCGGAGACCCAATATTCATAATTTTGGTTCGGTCGAAATCGAACTGACCGAATGCCCACCCCTAATTCCCCTTTCCAGTTTTAACTAGGGTGTTCAAACGGATTGGTTACCGTGTAACCATTTTAACCGGTAGTATTTGGATAATTTGGTTTGGTTAATTTGGATAATTGGTTTGGTTAGAATTTTTAGCTTGTTTCGTTTAGGTGGTTTGGTTTGGTTTCAGGCACTTCTAACCAATGAAACCAAATTAACCCGTTAAGTAATTTGCTATATATCTAATATATATTATATAAACATAATACTTTGCATAAGAACTCAACAACCAAAATTCCTCTATTTAAAATCATGAAAAATTAAGTTCAATATTGTTCCTATGTTGGATATTTGTATCTGTAGAATGTAGACCACAACATATATACGTCTAACTTAGATAAAACTCATACATAATATTGGATGAAAACTTGAAAGTAATTTTTCTTTTTAACATATGATAATTGTTAAGAAACTAAGTCAATTCACACAAACACAACAATTCATTAATCTTAGGTTTAATACACTTGTATATCCAAAACTTTCAGGGTTGTGCCAATAATATCCAAATTTCTCAAAATACCACTTATATCCATGTTTTAAAGTTGTTCTTTGCCAAAGCTATCCATTTCCCAATATATTTTTGGTTAAATACATTTGTATATCCAAAAACACCGTTAAAGAATGTGAAGGAATTGGATATAAGTGGTATTTCGGGAAATTTGGATATTATTGGCACAACCGTGAAATTTGGATCTTATACCGTTGAAATGTATTTTTATTAGGTGAATACTTCTATTGCAAGTAAGATAATTGTATTAGCTTTATGTGTTTATGTTAAGGATTAATTATAATTATGTGCTTTTTTTATATTTATTCATTATATAAATTACAAATTGATGCATTAATCATAAATTTTTCTCACTGAATGAGAATGTGATATATTATATTGGTTAATCTGGTTAATCAATTAGCCAAACCGATTAAATTTTAGTTTGGTTAATTTGGTTATTGTATTAATTTGGACGGTTTGATTATGATATTGTATTCCATGATTAATAGAAATCATCCTTATTCGGTTTGATAATGACCATGGTAACCATTTGAACACCCCTAGTTTTAACGAATTGGTAGAAGGATTGGAATACTGTGCAGCTGTGATTGAAACTTCTTTTTGCGGATACGAAGGAAAGTTTCTTCCATTTAGATTTGAAGGTACGTCCATGAAGAGAGCATCCATGAACACAAATGCTCCAGATAATCCAAAACAATGCACATGTCTGGAGAATCTTTCCTGAAGTAGCTACCGGAAAAAAATTGCTGATATAACGAGTAGACAGGTTCAAATTTGACAGATCTGCATCCGAGTTAAAACTGAATGTTTGAAGATACAAGTGAGTAGCTGGAGCCTGGAAGAGTATGTATTTGAATGGAAAAATCAAGTATTCAATTTTCCAATCACAAAAGGGCAGTGGGGAAGAATCATGTTTCAAGTATTCCAATCAGAAGAGCCTTGTTCACTGAAACTCAGACTTGGGATGAGACCTCTTCTTCGGATGGAGCTTTACTTTCAGTCACAAGCTTCTTGTTCTTCCCTGAAGTGACATTGTTGCCAGCCAAGAGTAGCCTGACCTGCATCAAGTCTAGCACCCTAGATTGTAAGTGCTTGTTCATTTCCATTACGTGCTTCGTCATTTGCGTTGCCCACATCCGCTGCCCCATGATCGTCTCTAACTTCATTTGCATGGTTTCTGGTGTTTGTTCTTGCTGTTCACATCCCGGAACACACAAAAAGAAAACAAATGAGAGATTCTTTACTACTGCTGCAACAAAAGACTGATATAAGAATATAAAACCTGGTGGTATTAGCATATAGAGGAGGCAGTAAAGTAAGGGAGCTCTTTGGTCGTCTAAGTTAAGCAATTGTCAGAAAGTATGCTAAGGTTGACAAAGGTGAAGACCTCCATCTCGAATATTTGATGGTCCAAAGAACTTTGGAAATCATTTGGGTATAAGCAGCACGAGGGAGGGAGGGCAATCACTCCTTCAGATGGGCCAGCCTGCTGAGTACACTTGTCCAGCGAAGAAAAACAAAACTGACTTGAATTCTTTTCGTGACTACTTGATGGTGATGTAAATAGCTCTGAACAATGTGGAACCACGACAAGATTAGTAGCCGGTCCTGTTTACAGATGGAACAACAGGTTACCAGCTTGATTTGACAGCTGATGGAACATGGGCCAACGAATAACTGGAAACTTTTAGCATGAGGTTGATGGTAAAATCAAAAGATGTATGAACAAGAATATATCAAAGACTCTACAATTAAAGGAAGAAGGAAAGGTATTATGTGATTAATTGAACATAACACGGGATAGAAATGGAAGAGATTAGGGAAACATACTTAAAGCAGGCACAAATACATGTAAAACAATATGCTGGACTCCAAAAAAAAATCCAGTCACACAGTTTCAGCAGAGATTACCTTTCTGATGGTCAATTCTCCAAACAATCACCTGAGAAACTATATCCCAGAGGCAGACAGTGCTATCTGTTGATGCAGATATCAACCCGTATTTGCTAAAGGCCAATGCCGTTATGGACCCACTGAAATCAAAAGTAAAAACTGTGAAGCCTTTTTCTTTCAATTAGTTAAGTTACTGTCGGAACCATGCAGCAAAATGAATATGAGACTATCAGATCTTTACTAAGGTCCACGCCAAATAGTAACTCAGGAAAATCAGTGAGTTAATAGCAACTCAGGAAAGTCAGTCAATCGCGAGCATGAGACAAGCACCACGTGAACTTAAAAGTTCAATTATGCAGAACAAACAAATCAAACTGTCTAAAGCAGTGAACGTTGCTTCAAAACATAAAGTTATAAAGTTTATTAGTGAAAGTAGTAATTTTCATAATAAGTTAGTTCTCATGCAAGCATTGGAGATGCATGTCTTTACTTGATTCAGGAAAAAAAATATCGCATATCATACATTGTGCATTACTTTTGTCCTTTCAGCACACCCTGCTGATCTTCTACACCAGCAATAGGTTCATCTACAAGTCCAAGATCAAGACCACTGACAAATATTCTTCCATCTGTGCTCCCACAGAAAATAAGTTGCTCGGTTGGATGCAGGGTAGCTGCAGTTATACCAGTCGGATACTCTCGCGTTTGTATCAGTCTACCGGAGACTAGGTCCCACACCTGTAGAAAGAATCAAAACCTTTTGATTTCTGCAAGAAGAGCTTCAATCTAGACATTTGTTAAATAAACCCGATATATCAACCTTGCTAGTGGAATCAAGGGAAGTAGATATAAAGCACGAGTTGGAAATGCCTGATGTAGATAACAGAGAAGTTATCGAGGATTTATGCTCCATTGAAAAGTACAACAGCGAGGATGAGATTCCAACATCTTCCACGTCTAGCAAGCTTGAAGAGAAATGGTTACTAGAACAAGCTTGTTATATGTAAATGCAGTGAAGTATGAGTGATTCAATTCTTCACAACCGTAGAGGAATCCAGGAGCAAAATGTTTCAGCCTTACCCAATTACTGACCATGCATTAATCATCCCATCATCCGATCCAGATATAAGAATGGAATCATCATTAGAGAAAGCAATGCACTTCAAGGATTTATGATGGGCTCGCCAAGTTTTCAGCAACCTTCCACTAGTCACCTACAGGTGCCGCAAGTTAAGTAGATAGGGTATTCCATTCGATTCCACGTCTATCTCCACAATCAGAAGTGGTTACTAAAACTAAATAATGGAATTGTGGTTCGCCACTAACCTCCCATAGATAGGCATTTCCTGAAAACGCACCGCCGACCAGATACATCCCATTAAAGGTGCTGGCAAGTGGCCCTATGGCTTCAATTGGGTAGCTCCGTATCGGCGACTGGGGCTAAAATCATCAAAACATAAACCAACCAACAGTACTTTTACGAATTCAGAACCCACAATATCTTGTCCGGCTCCCTCGACCATAAGCCGGCTTACAAAAGGAAGGACAACACAGTGATTGATCTCTTCTCTGGGGAATTTCATCGAACACCACATGCCCATAAACGAAGTTCTAAAAACAAAGCCCAACGCCAAGAACTTACCTTTTTCAAATGCCAGGCGAAGATTGCCCCACAACCAACGGAGCCATGCCTGTTGGCCTGAGAAGCGACGAGAACCTGACCTCTCAAGCACAGCAGACCATGAGTAGGAGAAGCGCAAGTCGGGATGTGAAGAAGGCAATTTCCCGAGTCCAAGTCCCAGAGGTTGATTCCCGCTCCCATGTTCCTGTCGCCGCAGACCACCAAGGCCTCGGCCTCGGCCTCCCGCGACTTGGATTCTCCCTTCCCGCCCACCATCAATTCCTCTCTCCGGACAGCACGGGCTGTTGAGGGAATGTATGTTTTATATACGTAAAAGCAATTTATCAGTTTGTTGAGGGGAATAGAATATACAGTGTAGTTGGGATGTGTGGAAGAAGCTGCTGCTAGCGCATGGCGAATGGCGTGACGACTGCCGGAAAGCGACAAAGGTTGTTGGGGATTCTGCTCAGGAAATGGGATTATTAGAGACTAACAGAAGAACACCTAAACACTCTGAAAACAAATTCCACGGAGAGCGCAGGAGTTATCACAGTAAGTAGGGCTGTTAATCGGTCTCCGGTTTGTCGGTTACCATCGAAACCGAACCGAAACCGTCGGTTTATTGACCAACCGAAAACCGTCGGTTTATTGCGGTTTGCGGTTGCGGTTGGACGTTTCTGGCCAGTGGGCAATTATCGCGGTTAGCGGTTAAAAACCGCAACCGCACAAATTAACCGAACAAAACCGAGAAAACCGACGCACGCGGACAGACAGCCTCTCCTTCCCTCCTCCCCTGCCCTAAACGGCTAAACCTAAAATCCTAAATCGCAAAATCGAGAGTCTCCCCAGTCCCCTCTCACACCCGCCGCCCCTCCCCATTTCTGAACCCTAGCCCCTCCCCTCGCCGGCCGCCGCCAGTAGCCTCGTCCCCGTCGAGCTCGTCGGCCATCGGCCGTCGCAGCGCCTTCCTCAATCCTCTCGCTCCCAGCCTTCGTCGCGTCCATCGCCGCCCTCTCGCCGCTCCCAGCCTTCGTCGCGTCGCATCGCCGCCATCCCGCCGCTCCCAGCCTTCGTCGCGTCGCATCGCCGCCATCCCGCCGCTCCCAGCCTTCGTCGCGTCGCATCGCCGCCCTCCCGCCGCTCCCAGCCTTCGCGTCGCCGGCTCGCCGCTGTCCTCCAACAGAAGTCTTTTTCTTTTGGAGAGGTTAGAGAGAGGGGTTTTCTTTTGGAGAGAGGATAGGGTAACAGAGAATGAGATGGGGAGAAGAAGGATCGAGAATGCTAGAGGATTGGAATTAATCTTTTATATTTTTTTGGAATTTTTATTTTTTTTTTTCAATTAATTTCCGGTTGATAGTCAACCGACCAACCGAACCGACACCGACGGTTAGCGGTTTCGGCTAACCGATTGGACAATCGGTTGCGGTTGCGGTTGCCTGTTTTGACCTCTAATAGGTGTCGGCTAACCGACCCGTCGGTTCGGTTTAACCGCAACCGAACCGATTATCACCCCTAACAGTAAGCAATCAGTTTCTCCCCAGAAGAAAGATTGATTGCATACTAACAAGCTAAAGCACGCTTTACTATATCAGCATAGTTTTGGGTTGAGGAAATTTTACATAGGTGATCCACTTCTAAAATTAAATTAAAATATTGGCTCGCTCTAACTACCACTTTCCAATCGAAGCCATGTAACATAAGGTAGTGCAAGTAATAAAAATATCGAATCACGGGTCTCTAGATGTACATTACTTCGACTTAGATATCTTTATCTAGCAAAACAAGAATAGTTCATAGAGAGGAGAGAAGAGAGAAGAGAGAAGAGGTTTGTCACAAGCATAAACAAACAATCCAAAATCTAGAACTTGGGTTCATCAACCTAAGTGAAGAGATCTAGTTCATAGAGAGGAGAGATTGCAATACAAAGTTCAAATTCTTCCATCTTCTTCTTCAGGGGTTGATTTTCAAGCTTCAATGGTGGTTGGCACTTCCAAAACAGCTCCAAGAGCCCTCCTAGACATCTCTCTCTCTAGAAATGCTTCTTTAGTGTTTTTGGTCGAAACCCTAAGGAAAACCAAGCTCTCCCAAAAACCCAGCTCTCTCTTCTTTCTACCACAACTGCCTTTTTTATACTACCCGAGTGCCAAGTTGACAGGTCAAAGATCACGGTTGTGATCCCAACACCTAGGTCGTGATCTCAACCAAAGGCGTTGCATTTTGCGCTGAACTTCACGACCTCGTTGTAAAGATCACGGGCTAAGACAGTGATCTCTACAGACTACAATGTTCACGAAATGACCGAAGATCTCTGGAACCTTGCCGATTCCATGGTCTACTCGCCAAGTTCACAGCTTGTGGCCGTGATCTTCACCTCCAGCCCACGAACTTCGCCTCTTCTTCACCCTTTGGCTCGTTTCGACCTCCAAATATAATGAAACTCATCTCTGACCTTCCCCCACGTATTGGGACCTGAATGTGACAAAAGAAGCACAACCCAGAGTAAAATAGGTCGAGGAACGACAATTACCAAGTAAAACACTCCAGATATGAAGGGCTAAAACATGTACAAATACACTCGAATCAAACTCCCTCACACTTGAACGTTTGCTTGTCCCCAAGCAAACTAACTCATACAAGTGCTACAAATGCAAGAAACTTACAATGGTATGCACTATAGGATGGGGAACTTGTCGACTATGGAGGTTTAGACATTTGACGCATGCACCAGGGGACCCTCAAGAAAACACGAAAAGCAAAGGACTCCTTTGTGGTGCTCCTACTTTCGTTTTCAAAAGAGGACTCAAATTATCAAGTCTCAACTTAAACTTGGCCGCACATGGCACCACCCTTTTGCAATTTTTCAAATTAAGACATCTCTCCCTTACGATCAAGAGCGAAGATGGTCGGATTTGACTAGAGGAAGATGCCTCACTATGGTTTTCCAGAAATTTTTCTGTCAATACTGATTTAAAGGCCCTTGTCGAGTCTCTCCTTCATATCGTTCTGAAACCAAGGGAATTGTAGTCTAACGTATCCCAAGTCCATCAACTCCGAGTCATGGATACAGTCTTGAAAGTTCCTGGCTCGATTGGAATCAAAGGGTTCCCCTCCCGTCTTTTTCAGATGGGTGTAAGATAGAATTGAAATCGCCCGTCAATACCAATGGAAGGTCAATGTCGCCTTCCCATTCTCAGCCCCATATGGGGAACATGATGGTCGAATTCATTGTCTGAGCACCACTTCCAAACCTGCACTCCTCGCCCCATACGAGTTTGTGAGGAGGAGAGATGTATGGGGTTGGAAAGTAGTGAAAGATGATTGGGACGCTAGAAAGCTATCTGATTCCCAAACACATCCTCAAATGGCACTCCAGACCAAGAGAAAGGCCCTTCGACGGCTTAACTCAAACACTATGCTCGATTTCGTCTCACGTGAGAACCTAAAAAAATTTCAAAAGATTTTTTTTCAAATTGGAGCACCTTTTACAAAACTTTTGGGAGTCCAACATTTTGGGAAAGAGTCCCGCACACATGTCCTAACCTCGATGGTAAACTTTATCAACACATCCAAGATAGAAAAAATATATATTTGTAGCGTCACACTACTCCCTATAATGCACACCATCGACATAACATCGGGTCAATTCCATAAATATTGTTTTTTTTTTAATTTTCGTGAATATAACATTTTAAAAATTATTTACATAGATATTGTGTTTTGAAGGTAAGCTCAAGCGGATCCACCTATGCTCACTTTCATTTATAAGTGAAGCGGACCCGCGTGAGGAATGGAAAGAATGTATCCAGCCTGCGCGTGAACGCATGGTGAGATGATGGAACTTGGGTGTTTAATTATATGAGGACCATTTAACTTTGCATGGGTACCTATAGTTGGAATATGTTTGCTGCATCATGGTTTGCATGAGTGAGATTTATTAGTTATATTTCATAACTTGTATATTTATTTATTTTTTGGGTTATTGAATTAGGTAGTTTGAAGTATTTTAGGTTTATGGCCGTATGTATTTTATCTGTTTAAAATTATCATATCTGTATTATTGTCAACTTGTTTCACATTTTTCGTTCGTTTGATGCCTCTCATACTAAACATGTACAAAACACGTATCACGTGTTTAAAATCCGTATTTAATGGATTAAATTGTTAATTTAATTATTATTTATTTTGTAACTATTGACGTACAACTAAACAAACCATAGTGTTGAGAAGAATTAAAATATATGTATGTATTTTATAAGCAATACTTCATAATTATATGCGTGATGAAATGGATGCAAGCTATCTCAACTTTCATTCACAACCAAACAGAGCTCAAAGAGCCCTTGAGAGTCATACAAAATAAAATGGTGAAGAACAGGATCCAATACTAAAAGCCTGTGAAAACCCAAAGGTAAAGAATGACAAAGACTAGCAAGATGGCCTGCACACATTAAACATGGATATTAAAAGTGTTGTCTTTATAGGTGTTTAGTATAGATGACATCAAATGAAAGTGTAAAAATTGAAACAGTTTGACAACAATATGAATATAAAAATTGTAAACGAATAAAATATGTACAAACATATATACGTATATTAAACTAAGTTTTTACTAACTATGTTAATTAGTAAAACCCCACCCCATTATCAAAATACTTAAAACTACCTAATTCAGTAAGCTATGTAATATGGTTATATATATATATATATATATATATATATATATATATATATATATATATATATAATATATATATATATATATAACCATATATATAATATATAAGCTATGTAATATAACTAATAAATCCTACTCATGCAAACCATGATGCGGCAAACATATCCCACCTATAATTACCCATGCAAAGTTAAATGGTCCTTATATAATTAAACATCCATGTTTCATCAGCTCACCATGTACATTCCTTTCCATTCCTCAAGCAGGTCCGCTTCACTTATGGATAAAAATGAGCTCACGCGGATCCGCTTGAGCTTACCTTCTAAACACAATATCTATGTGAATAGTTTTTAAAACGTTATATTTGTGGTAAAAATTAAAAAAAAAAACAATTCAAAGCACAGTGAGTAGGTGCATGCAATGGAATTATTACAGGAAAACTGGTTTCTAGTCACGGAACGTCATTAAAAAGTATGCTAATAATCACAGTAAAATTTCCGATAATTAGTTATATAATTCTAGTCACAACGGGAATTGATTCATCTTATTTTTAGTATTCATTCCCGTTATTAATGTTAATCATCGTTAATTACCATAAACAATGCAATATTTTTCTTTGAACAAAATATCTCCAAATTTTGGAGGAAGAATTTTTTTCATTTCAAAGTTTCATTTGACCCTAAAAATTTTTCATTACAAAATCTTTACCTCTAAAGATTTCCCCCAACAAAAGGTAAAATAAAAAAGTGAAAATGAAAACTTTTTGCTCCTAAAATTTCCCACCAAAAATTTTTCCCTCCTACTAAAACAGTGACATTAAAAAAACTTGGTCATCCATGAAAAGCCCTCCCCGGTTATATGCCTATCACATTTTATCCCCTCCATATTCCTAAATCCTAACCCTAAAATTGTGATTTGCTAAAAAAAAAAAAAAAGACAGCTTACACACTCTTTGCTCGCCTCCTCACTCTCCCCTCCGGCCTCCACTCGTCAATTGCGGCCGCTTCTCTCCCAGATTTCCAAGAATCTCATCTCCCAACTCCTCATTCCCATGAACCATTCAAACACATCCTCTCCACTTCAACCATCTCCCCATCACTATCGTCGATTGCAGCAATTTGTAGGCAACAACCCTATCCCCATTTCGGCACCCAGATCAAATTCCCACCCAACCCTACCGAAGAATGTCATTGGCATCTGCTTCTAAAATCGAAACCTTCAGTCATGTTTTCCAGTCGCATGAAGAACCTGTCGAGCGACCGGTAACCTCTCTTCTTCATATGAAAAAGTGCTGAAAGCTGCCCCGATTATTGCTCTTCTTCAACAGTCTAGCTTTCCTGCCCCTTCTCCTCTAATCGCTGGCACATGTCTCTGAGTTGCTGCTCTTAACTTTGTTGTTGCTTCTTGGTTCAGCAGAGGAAGCTTCAGGCATTCCAATTTGGCTTTCTTTTGCTTGAATTCATCCTACTCCAGCAATTCAGTTATCATAAACTCCCGAGGTTGGTGTTGTAAAAAGATTGAAACTTTTTCTCACTTTTATTGTGTGGATTGTTGACTCACACAAACACCACACTAGAAACCCCCTCTAGAGCCCAAGTTTTAAACTCTAGAGGGGTGCAGCATAGGGCAAGTAAGTTTTAATTATCAACCCGGGCTGATCCATGTACTCCTACTTCAATCGCTTAGGTTGTTATCTAGCAAGCAACTTTTGGGTTTAGAACTAATGGAACTACAAACTAAACAAGCAAAGAAAAGAAAAGTAAATAAAGGAATATTCTAACTAAGGGAGCTTCACCCAGGAGTTGCTTCCCCCTAACTAGTTACCGTGACTCATTGGATTGAATGGAGTTGTGTGGTGTAGGTGGTTGTGAACCGCGAGGGTGAGCAAGTAGTGATCGATTTGTCACAGAATCAATTCTCTAGCGATCGATTTGTCACGGGATCGATCCACTCACGACGTCTAGGGGAACCACTAGGAGGAGAAACTAGTGATCCATTTGTCACGGGATGGATTCACTAGAGATCGATTTGTCATGGAATCGATCCTCTCACTCAGTCTCTAGGGGTTGCCTAGGTCTCTCCCTCAAACCGGAGTTTGAGTGGCTTAATCACGACCAACCTAGATGCAAACTTGAGTCAAGAGGCATGCTCATCTCTAACCTAGATAGTAGGCACAACGTGCCCGGGAAAACTAAGTTTGTCAAGCCTACCTAAAAAGGTGTGGTTTTCCTCTAATCTAGGTTAGGCAAGCACACAAGATTTGGAAAGCACAACTAAGCACAATCACCATGAAAACACCTCTAATACTCAAATTGATGCAAACCCATACAAAATCATTCAATCTAAACAAGTAATTACAAGTATTAGTTAGAGATCTACAACACCCAAGAGAAAAGAGTGAGTTTCTAGAGAGAGAAGAGAGGGATTACAAATTTGAGCTCAAGATCTTCTTCTTCTCCTTCTTCTTCTTCTTCTAGGCTTGAATCCTTGTCTTCAAGATCCACCCAAGCCTCCAATGATGCTCCAAGATCACTCTAGCACTCTCTCTCTCTCTCTCTCTCTCTCTCTCTCGCTAGAACTCCCCTTTGGTGTTTTTGGGCAAACCCTAGAGAGGGAATTGAATTTCTCTCCAAAAACCAGCTCTCTTTTCTCTCTCTCCGTTGTTGTCTTCATATTTGCGCGAAAGTGACCAGTTCATAGATGCGTTGGCCAGTTCACGATCGTGAACACCTAATCACTTCCGTGAACTCACTGTCGTATCCAAAACGCATCGCTTCGCTTAATTTTGTCCCGGTCATTGGCCTCACTTCACGGCTTAGCGACCGTGAACTCCCTTTGCGTCAGTAACCTCCGAAACCTCGCTGGACTGCTTGATGTTCACGGTTTGTGCCTCCAGTTCACGGTCTTAGGAGACCGTGAACTCCCTTGTTTGACCGTGAACTGCTGTTGCTTCCTGGACGTCTGCACTTCACTGTTACGGGAAAATTGTCACGGTCGCCACTTTGGACTTTTCTTCTGTTTTTTTCACTTTTTGACCTCCAATTATCCCAAAATTCGACCTCGACCCTTCCACACATGCTAGAACCTGAAATGTATCAAAACAAACACAACCTAGTGTGAAATATATCGAGGAACGATGAAATACTAAGCTAAACGAATAAGAAATGAGAGGGAAAATGTGTACATTTGGGCTCGAATAAATTGTTATCGAGTGGATGAATGAGAGCATGGTTTTTTGTTTGTTTTCTTTGATTTAGTTGGTTGTTACTGGAAAAAGTTTTCTAAGATATTGTCTTGATTTTGGATTACTGAAAGCAATCGTTTCCCACATTTCATTATATTCAGCTAATTGAACAGAGTCTAGACTGTGAGTATGATATCCTAGCAAAGGAGTTTGGTGTGTGGGTGAACGAGAATACCCTCAGTATCTTCGATTTACTTGGGTGTGTCAGGCGGCTTGAGGGAATGAAAAGGATACTTCTCGCTGTAGAGTTATAGTTGTGCTGATACAAGTGCCGTTGTCGGGTTGCAAATTGGGTCTTCCATACAGGTTGCTCTCATTTATGTGAAGAAATATAAGTCATAGCTTGTCTTGAATGTATTACATTTTCATTGAATGTACTGCTCTCATTTTCATGCTTTTTTTTCATTCTACTTCAAGAATTGGGTAATTGTGCCTTACTGGTGCATGATCAAAGGTGGTTTAGAAGAGGGAAAATAAAAATTGAGACAGTGGAAGTCGAAGAGTGAAGGATAAAGAACATGGTTATTGTTTTTTACACATATCCTCATTTTTCCTCTATTTTATGTTGTTTGCAGAGGGAAGGAAGTTCAAATTATAAACAATTTTTTGCCGGTGCAGTTAGAAAGAGTGAACTTCCAAAACTGTAACGGTGGAAAACAGGGAAGAATGATTTCATTAGAAGAGCTGTTGTGTGTTAGGTTTTCAACCCTAGAAAAGTGGTGTTATGCTTCACTTATTACTGTTAGCATTGAAGAGTTGCTTGCAAATGCCAAAACTTCTAGTAGTCTTTTTTTTTATAGGAAATGAATATGAATCAAACTTCAGGGTACAGTTTCATGATTCAAGTTTAATTTTCCTTCGTTCTGCAATCAGGTTCCCCCGACTACCCATACCAAATCAAAGCTTCACACGCCAATATTTGCTTTCGGATCCAACACTAGATTCACAATCAGATCCAACACTGGATTCACAATCAGATCCAACACAAGAAGAAAAATAGTACAACCAACAATAGCAGCAACAGAAGCAATGCAGCGGGAGGCAGTAGAAGTGGTAGTAGCAACAAAATCAGTACAACTGGCTGAATATATGTTGGACTTTGGAGATGTGTCTCTTTTTTTAGAACAAGAGGCCTAGTGTAGATGCTTCTAAGTTTCTCTTTCTTTCATGGTTTGATTAGTTTCTTCCTAAAATACATTGGTGTAGGTTGCTACATCAAATGAATGGATATGTTCTCAGTAGGGTGTGTATTAGATAATACACTCTTGGGTTAATTTCTCACTAGGGTCAGTATTGGATTTCATAACTCATCTTGATTCTCTTTCCTTGTCCTCTTTGTTTGAACTTTTGCAGTCCAATAAAACTAAAGGGGTTTGGTAGTTGTTTTCCTGCACAGATTGCTGCATAACTGACATTTTTGCCTATTATACGATTCAAAACTTGTGTCTTGGGAAATGAAACTAGAACGTGAATGGATTATACACAGATTTTACAGTTTTCAAATACTCAGCTTGGAGTTTTGGTATGGTTTCTTTATGTTTATGTGATAGAAAGTAACAACTTCTTTTGGTCACTTGGTCTTGTTCATTTAATTCTTTTACTTTGTCTTTTCATATGGTTTCATGTATGAGTTCTTTTGAGTTCAAAAACATTAAAGTTATATAAGTAACAATTTGATTTCATATTGCAGGTGAGTTGGAGTTTGAGTGCTGAAATTACTAATGCATATATTTATTGCTTGGTTTGGATAGTGGTAAGGTTGAAGTTTGAGAGTTGTCAGCTTTTATTAAGTTGTTTGTAGTTGAGCTCTTATTTTGTGTTTCTAACCCTTTGTGTTGTCTTGACTTCTTGAACTAAACAAGTGTTTATATTACTTTGTATATGGTTTATTTATGTCTGAATGTTTTAAGCAGTTGAGTTTGCCAGAGAGAAAAATAACTTTTATCTCATTTGAATAATGTTTCTAGAGAGAAAAATGCTTGAATGTCTCAAATGCTTTGAGGAAGGGAGAATTGGCAGCAAAATTATGGAACTGATCTACAAAGCATATTACACGCTTCACTCTTTGTCTTTGTTGCCACTTGGCACTTTAATTGGATGACCTTATTTTATGGAGGGGCAATTTTGCCCAATTCCCAAATGCCTCTAAACAAATAATGGGCCACAAATTTAAAAATCCAGTTAGTTGAGAATTAATTGAGCATTCTGTAATACACTAATATTTATCCCTACCCTCAGTCTAGAAAACAAAATCTCACTCTATTCTTCATACCATTATTCCGACTAACACGTACATGTTAGTTGAGGCTCATGAATTTCAACTTTGCTTTTTCATAGGCTGTTAGAGCAGGAGGGCATGAAAATGTTCAAATAAAGACATGTATCACAAACCAATATCTCAATATTATTTTCTTAGGTTTGAATTGGTTGGATTTGAATTTTTGGAGTTGGTATTTGTTAACAAAATATATTTGTAGGGGTGGGAAATGGCGGGGTGGGTTGGTTTTTATCAGAAATTGACCCACTCGCTTACTTGTGGGTTAGTATCATTGTGACTCGCTATCCACTCACATTCTTCTTTAGGTTGGATTGGGTTGGGTGGGTGGCGGGTGAGTGCGATTGGGTTATGGTTTAACCGACAAAAATAATTTTCTATAGCCATTACGGAAATAGACTAATATTTATGATAACTTCCTCAATAATTAGTAAGAAGTTAGCAATTTAGACACCTATCACTTTGTCTCTGGTAGACCCGCATAGTATTTGCATCAAATCTTCCTTTACAACATCTACCAATTGTCTCTCTAATTGACAATTTTTGTGATTTTCATACACCTAATAGTTCATGATTTGCATCCCAATATCTAATGTATAATGAGACATGGTAACTAACAATAGTAGTACAAAAAAATTACCTCTCACTTTGTCTCCGGTAGATCCGCATAGCATTTGCATCAAATCATCTGTTACAACATCTACCAATTGTGTCTCTAAATGACAAATTTTGTGAATTTCATACACTTAATAGTTCATGATTTGCGTCCCAATATCCAATGGATAATGGGGCATAGTAACTAATAATAGTAGTAAAACAAAATTATTTCTTCTTCATTTTAGGTCGATTATTAGTTTGTAGTGTGGCTAGGAAACACGACGTACAAGAAACAACTTTTTCTCATATGGATTTGGGGTACGGGCCATTCGCATGACCTGCAATCCACTCACCACCTCCTCACCCCAATAAGTGTTGATAGGAGATTTATCAATCCGCAATCCATCCACATGAGTCAAATGCCTGTTGCGGTTCGGATTATTGTAGATGGATCGATATCAAACCACGGATCAATCATCCACATGCCCACCTCTACACATTTGTGTCTTCTATGAAGTCAAAGTTTGACGCAGTGTAAAGAATAATGATATTTTGTAAATTATATTTACAAAATAGATTAAGGGTTAGGTGATGTTCAATTTTAAAACTATTTGGTAGCTATCTCGCTTAAAGTGTTCTTTCTTTTTATGAACCTCCTTAGTACTATATCTGCCTAATTCCAGGACGACATTGTAGGACTTTCTAATTTTCCTATTATGAAAGTAACTTATTAGTAAACAAAATTGTTGATATCGAAGATTTCTTCGGTTCCTTTTGCACAAGCCAATCGTACCTCCTACATGAACTTGATTTTCTTTTTATGATAGTCCCTTGAATTTTGTAAGTTCGGTGAATTGAGGTTTTAAATGAATTGAAGTTATTAAAATGGCTGAAACGTATACACAGTCATGATTATTAAGTAATGTCATTTTATACCTATTACATAAGATACACATGCATAACATAATGATTACGAAAATCGAATATTTATTAGGTTTAGACGTGTTATGTGAGAATTATGTAGTGATTGAACATTTTGCGTAATACAATGTTATTATTTATTACGTAAGAATGTCATCAATTACATAAGACTTATGTAACCACATTCCAACATTTTCATTTCATACAAATACATTACGTAACGATTATGTAATGATAATTACTTTTTACGCAACATTCAAATCATATGTGTCACATAGGGCTTCCACAATCGCTTGACTATCTAAGTAGCGAGGTGTTAATATTCCCCAAGAAAAAGGTCGTTCATTACTTAAGGCTTCTGTAAAATAGTTTCACAATACTTAATTCCCTCCTTTGCCAATCAAAAGTAACCAAAAGCTTACTTCGGGTTAATTTTAATAAAAATAAAACCTCATATCCAATCACCAAAGACCACCAACCAGCCAACGGTCCGGTCACAATACTAGTGAAGAAAAGACAGATATAGAAATTATAGTAATAGAGCAAGAAAATGTTATCTCATAGATTTGTAATTGGTTCTCTTAGGTCGAAGTTTCATGCAACAAGAATAAGTTTTATTTAATTCTATGTTTAATTACCATTAATCAACGAATGATATTTGTATCGGTTGTATTGACATTAATGTTAGAATCTTATATTACAAGAGTTTGTCTTTTCAATTTAGTGGATAGATGACTAGTGGTTTGTAATTAGCTACGGAAATTATCTAGCTAATGATTAGTATATAATCACAGGAGAAACAATGAATACATCTAGCATGTACCATGACTATTGATCGACAACTAGCCACGGGAAATGATTTTTTCACGGTTAATACTGTCTTAAAAGAAACACATCCTGTCTTTGAAAGTTTTTATCTCGGATATGTGCTCAAAATTTGAAATTTGGCATGGTTTTCCCGGTTATTAATAAGTACAAATGATCATGGGAAACTACACTGTGACTCGTCATAACTAGACTAGTCACAGTAGCTATATACTATGGTAAATTTCCCATGAATAAAGGACCTTTTTCCTGTAGTATCCTCAAAAAATATTTGATATTTGGGCATATAATCTAGGTTCCAAACACTCTTAATGTACGCCATAGACAATTCATTCACACATAAGTGCTTGGACCATGGAGCCATAAATTTTTTGAAATTTCGGCATTAATTAAGGTTCCAAAGTATTCATAGAATAGCCAAACACCCAAACACTAATTTACACCACTTATTCACACACTCATATCATGCAATACCCCCCCCCCCCCCTCCCAAACACACACTTAAGCATGACAATGTCCCCAATGGAGGAAAAATAATAGGGTAGAACGAAGTTACCGAAATATGTCTGAATAATGGTGGAGGGGCTAGGAGGATGGATGAGATGCGAGAGAGAAAATTATCATTCCAAACACCGCAAGCTCACGAAGGTTGATTTATTTTAAGGAAAAGAAATGCAAATCGTAGTGGTTGGGTTGCCTCCCAACAAGCACTTCTTTCACGTCATAAGCCAGACAGTGATGCTCAACTCTCGATCCATCCCACAACCTCCTTGAAGTTGAGGTTCTCGTCGATGATCTGGAGTCTTAAGTCACGAGCAAATGGTGTGAAACTTGATGGTGATTGCTCATGAACTTGGTTATAATTGAGGCTCCGCCCACGAGACCTCTCCTTCTTTTCTTCTTCTCTCTTCTCTTTGACCCATACCATATGGTGCAACCTCGATTGACCACCATCACATCCACCAAGAGGGACCGATGATGGTTTGGCCTTGTCTTGGCAAAGAACCTCAAACGGGTCTTTCTCGAGAAGTGCACCAAGGTTGGGTGGAAAGCTTTGGTAGCACTCGTAACTTGTAGAAGTTTCATCCATCACGACCTCATCCTCATCTTGGACACCATTTGCATATTCAACCTCCCTTACTTATTCCTTAATTTTTCCCTCCCTTTGGAAACAACCAAGATCTTCCTCTTCTTCAATGCTTACTTCCTCCTCTTCAACCCCTTCTCTCAGCTTACCATCCTTTTCTTCAAGCACAAATTGGAGGGCAAGAGGCAATGCAAAGTTGTTGAAAGGGTTATCTTGCTCCTCCGTCCTAGTGCCAAATGAGGTTCTTCTTCTTCATACTCATCATGGCAACTCTCTGGGATGAGTTCGTCTTGTTCATCAAAGTCCTCATTGATCGCCTCCTCAACCTCCTCTTCTCCTTTAAATGGTACGAGATTAAAGCGTGAACAAGCTTGTGCAACCTTCTCTTGTAGTGCAAATCGGAAGGAGGGAGGGTTGGAAATCCATGTTGGATCATGTTCTTTCAAAGTTCTCCATGGCAAGCTTCAACTTGAACTTCTCTTTGGGTTGTGGGAGATCCAAATATGAGCATCCTTGACTCGCCACGGATACTACACCACAAATTAATCTCGACTAGAGCCCAAGTTTTTAAACTCAAGTCGGGTGCAGTATAGGGCAAGTATTTTAAATTGTCAACCTGGGTCGGTCCATGTACCCCCTACTTCAATTGCTTAGGTTGTTATCTAACAAACGATTTGGATTTTAAA